AGACTGGATTCATCATTACCAGGCATTTGGGCTTCCAAGTTGGAAGCAACTTGCCCAGCAGTTGGAATAAGGCAGGCAGGGAGTATTGGAAGCTGCTTCTAGCTAGAAAAGACTTTCTAGAGATACTAAAAGTTAACTGTGATATTTCCATTGCAGTTCTTGACCCAGTGGGGGAGTGAAAAGCTCTGCACTGAAGCCTGTTTTGCCATTAGTAAAACTCTTCTGCTTAGTTCTAGACTTAGGGTAAATCTGAAAGCAAAGCCTTTGACACTTTAGGCATACAAATCTTTTTAAACTTGGAAATTCCATTATTATGTCTATATTCCCTTGCCTTTGGAACTTTTGTTTTTGGGGGGAGTTCTCACATGTGAAATGTGAGAACAAAAATAACAATATTATAAGTCCACAATATTGCTGGAACTTTTTTGTAATATATAATATAGCTCCTCCCATTGAGCACCAGGACCTCTGTGTTGCTCAATCTGTTATACATTCATATTTAAAACTTTTATCTTCAAGACTTTGTGACTTTGAATGGTCTTATGATTCACATAAGCATTGTGCCTTAAACAATGGATCATTCTTCTTCAGCACAATGCAATCCTTTAGCAAATAGGAACAATACAAAGGTAATTAAAACCATTTTTATGGCACAGCTGATATTTTTTTAAGTTCAGTTCACATACTACCGCTGTTCAATATCGTACTTGGACAAAGTAACTGACAATTTATGGAGACAAATTTAATTTTCTTTAACGGGTTAATTGAAATTAATAAATTCAATTATTTTGACATAAAGAACTTTGCAACTTTCAGGTAATGGATTGCCATAGCAGTGTGGAATATCAGGAAACATTCCTCCCCGAAGCAGGATGGGAGAGATGCCAAGGGAGCAGCATCATGCTGCAGGTCATCCACAAGATGGCAATAGCAGAATGAATTCCTTGAGAAACTGCGCTCTTTGCATCTGATGCTTTTTTGGAAATTTAATTTAGATCAAAGCAAAGCTGGGACAGAAGTTGCTTTGCCATCCTCTTGTTCACAGAAATATAATAGTATTATGAAATATAAAGCAAAAATTTGCAATTAAACCTTCCTGACCTTATTTAAAACATTTAATTTTTTCAGCTGTTCATTGATACAGCAGAATTTCTGTTACATGATATGCTGTGAACATTTCTCTTCTTTCCCTCTATCCAAGTTCTATAAGTCCATGAAGGGTCCAAGTTGAAATATTTTAAACATTCATATTTCTCATAGGTCTGTATGAATGTTTCCTTGAAGATAAGCACTTGAATAAAAGTCCCAATATTCAGTGATGCTAAACCTGTCCCAATATGGCAAACTGATGGCAAATAGGTGTTTCTCCAAAGAATTTGGACAATGTGTTTAATACCTCTCACATTTAAAAATATATTTCTGAGAGCTTATTCCTGTATGCTGCTACATTTTGAAGATTTTCAATTGTGTCAAAAGCAAAACAAATTTTTTTTTAATCCATACCAACACACATTACATTAAAAAAAAGGGGGGAGCTATATTTAGATTTGTTTTCTTTTCTTTTTTTTTTTTTTTAAGAAATGCTCTCTAATCATAATTCTTTATCAAATTTAGTAACTAAATGAAAGAATAAAGCTGTAGTTCTTTTCTTCCAATGCCTGAACGAGCTGACAGGAAAGAGGGAGAGACATGGGACAGCTATAAGCATGAGTTCTAATAAAAGACTGAGGAAAGCATGAAAGAAGGTTTTTGAACCAATCTTTTGTTTGCAAATAACAATTATAAGTCTTAAACTGTTTTGCAATAAGAACTTTAGAATGTTGCTTAGTATTAAGGATATTAAACTGTAGCTTTAGAATGTATAAGTCTTAAGCTGTTTTGTAATAAGAGCTTTTGAATTATAACTTTAGAATGTTGCTGAGTACTAAGGATTTTTAAGCTGTAGCTTTAGAATGGATAAAGGATTTAAACAGAAAGGGAAGTGACCTTATCCCAAGTTCCTGGAAAAGGAAGATGGACATCAAGGTTGCTGATTGATGATTTCAAAAAGTGAAGCTGGACATCACTACCATAGATTAATGATCCCAGAAAATAGAAGTTGGACCCCACAATCTGGACACATATCTTGGGATATACACAGTAAGGTATAGAAATTGGAAAGGAACCAAACATCACCATCATAGATTTACGATCCTGAAGTATATAATTGTGATGTTAAAGGTAGAAATGGAAACTGTTGAAGTCTCACATCAAAACTGGGAAAATATTATGAATATGCATGAATATGATCAATAAATACCAGCAAGCCCAACAACCAGTGTGCTGTCAGAGGGGAAAACCTCCACCAACTGTACCCAGCGCTGTCTTTGCTCATACACTACCATATTAATTAATAAATTGAATTGCTGCTTGATATATTGGCTGAATCAAGTGTCTCATTTCTAGTAAGGCTTAGGATGGTACCTAGAACGAAGAAGGAAAGTGCAAATAGCAGGGTGTGCTGGGACCTTCACGGGTTCAGTTGAAATTGTAGGCAGCAAGAGCTTTCTCAGCTGGCACTTTTGTGAGCTCTGTTTTTGGCAGAGTTGTTTCCAGGTTTGTAGAAAGACTCTGAGAGAGTGAAAAGCTTTGTTAGAAGAAAGGAGTTTGTGTTGCCCTTTGAGTGTGGTGCAAAGAAGAGTAGGGGAGGAGGAAGATCAGCAGAATCTTTTTGTGCTGGCACAGTAGATGGAGAGCAGGGACGTTTCAGACCTGGCTCTGCCCTGGGGGGGTGTTTCGAGCTGGGCTCGGAGCGTTTCGTTCTTTTGCGAGCCGACAGTGCCATTGTGTGGCTGTTGTGATGAGGCTGACAGTGCCCAGGAAAAGCCAGGGGCTCTCCTGGCCCGGAGAGGCGGTGTGGGAGCAGCGAAAGGAAGAGCTCCACTGTGCATCCTGACAGCACGGGAGCCTGCATCTGGCGGGGAAGGGAGAGGAATCCTTTCATTGATGGCTGTGCAGTTTATAGCGGGCAAAACAAAAGTGAATTCTAGTGCAGCCTCTTTCTCCTAGAGCCTCTTCTGTGAGACCACCAGCTGAATGTTCTTAGTTTTGTTGCTAGACTCCGTGAGACTGAAAGTGCATGAATGTGCACGAATGAATGTGACGATACATGCAGCAGATGGCAAAGTGCATCACTCCACAGGGTGTGTTGCTTTTCACAGGATGAGAATTAAACGTGGAGACAGCAACCATTTGCTGAGCAGACACCTTTTTTGACCAGTAGTTATATTCTCTACAGTTAGCTTAGGTTCAGGAGCTCTGCATGATTTAAAGAATGTGATAGTACATAGTGTGAAAGGAGCTCATAGCCCCGGGTTGCATGGTGGTGTTGATGTCCTTCGAAGGGAATGTGAAACTCAGCAGCCATTAACTCCTCTTTTGCTTCCACATTAAGATTATGGATCTGGGCTCAGTGAGAGAGCAAAAATGTAAAGGTGTATGCAGCTGAAATGAAAAAACATAACACCAATGTGTGTTGCACAGCTTAAAGCTGCATAGGAAAAGTGATGCTCAGCACTGCCTTTCTTTTTGTTCTAGGACCTTTTTTTAAGTCAGCAGACTCTGAATATCTCTCTGTGAGACTGGCATTATAGGATGCAATATCAAACTTCAAAGACTGATGTTTTGATAGCTCATATTTGGTCTAAGAACTAATATTTTGGTCTCTTGCTGAGGATAGCACTAGTCTGGTGTTAATATGATTTTTGTCCTTTCTGTGATGCTGTAAGAGCTGTATTGTTTTTTCCATAGTGTTATATGTGTATATGATAATTCAGGCAAGTAAAATTGTCATATATTTTATAGTTATGTACTGTTAAGATATACTCTTATAAGAAGTTTTTAAAAACACACTAGCCAGTGATGGGAATTTTAACACAATGTTGAAACCACCTGGACAAAGGATGGAGGACTCCATTCTCAAGCAATTGAACGTGGCCAGCCCGGCGGAACTCCCAGACGATAAATATGCGATAAATATCCGAAATTGAGATAGCTAGAGCCATCAGGGAGATACATATCAATACCGAATTCCCATGATCATGGGTGCTCATCACTCTCCGGACATGCATTGTTCAACTTGCCACAGAGAAAAGAATTCCACCTGAATACTGCAGTGCAAAAAGGAAGAAAAGGGACTCTGTCTCAGGCAAGAAAAAATCGTATAAAAATCAGCCAGACAGGATGGCTGGTGTGAAGCATAGGGGACCCTCTGCTGCAGCGGTCAAACCTGTGTCTCACCCAGCATGAATCCGAGCTGGACACTGAACATTTTTTTGCTTTTTGATAGTGGCTTTTCTTTTTGTTGTTATTCTCTACATTTATATTTGGTACATTTAATAAATTTTCTTAAATTAATAAACTGGAGCTTTCATTTATTACAATAGTGTCGTCAGAAGCACCTGGATGTTGTTGCTGCTAAGTTTGCCATCTTCATAACTGAAAAGGTTTTTTGATTAAGTTTGTATGGAAAATCATGCTATGAAAAGCCAGTGTCCATAAAGGAGACAGAGGAGTCCTGTAATTTCATTTGAATAATGGCAGAGTTCACCGGAGCAAACGCCCACAAGGGATTCTCTGTTGAGGTTTCGAAGGGCACATCCTACTTTTATCCCAAAATCCCGGCCACAAGCTGCTCTCTTCCTTTCCCCATTGGCTGAGGTGCTCGACAGGTGCAGCCTTCCCCAGCCACCTACCCCATATCCCCCTTGAACCTGGCATTTTCCCCCAAAGTTCAGAAATTCAGCCTTGTGCAGACTTTCAGGAGTTAAACTGTCTGGGCTCTGCAACAAACCTGTGGCTTGAAGTTGGTAGAGACATTGACACCCATTTCAAATACGTTAACACCCATGGAATTGTTTGTAAAGACATTAAAACACATCTTTGCTAAAAAGTTTAATTCAGAAAACAAGATACAATAACTTACTAACAAACAATTAAACCAGCATTGTTGGACACTGTAGTTTGGCTTAGAAATCTTTTATTATATATATTTGATGCTTTGAAGTACTGAAGTGTGGCAAAACTAATACACCAGTAAGAACATAACAATTTAGCAAGTATATATGTGTGCCATACTAAGTTGAATATACTTCGACAAGTACAGCACTTAAAAACAACATGGTGGGTATAAAATACTTCATTCAATAACTTCCTCTTCTGGAACAACTTCCAAAAGCATCTGGAGGTGCATAGTGATGGGCTCTGAGGAAAAGATTTATTGTTAGAGGTTTATAAGAGAACTTTCAGTTCAAACTCTAAGTGAGAAAACTATTCTTCTGTGTAGCAGGTTTTTTTGTCTCTATTCCTATTTCAAAATGAAAAATAAAGGGTGGGGAATAAACAGACTTAAGATCCAAACTACAGCATTCTACATTTCCAAACTTCTATTAGAGTACAATGCTTCTACTTACATAATTCAAATTATAATGAATTATATTTATTACATTATAACTAATCATCATGGGGACAAGAGAGACAGACAATAGATTTTTTTAATGTCTGTAGAACTACTAATGCTGTTGTATTCAGCTAATTCCAGTTTGCCTCTTAGAAACACCTGCATATCCTGTTTTGCCTGAGATAATATCAGTTTCTCTAGGGACTGTGCAATCAACTGATAAATGGTCATGCTGGGTTCTTGCAGTTTACTCAGACCTGGGATTATTTTCTTATCTTAATGCTGTTAACATTTTCTTTAGTAAGGATAGTAAAACTAATAATCAGAGGTAAAAGCCCAGTGTTTGGTGGCATAAGAATTTGTCTGCTAATCTTCAGTTAACCACTAAAGCAATGTTTTGAAATACAGAAAACTGAAAAACTGACTTTACAGATTAATTAGTTCTGTTTCTTTGTGCTACTACAGTGATGTGTTGTTTTTTGTGAATTCAGTTTAATTTTTCCTCAAGTCAGACATTACTTCTTTCCAACAGGAAGGAGTGAAATGCAGTCTTCAGTAAAGCCCACAGCATGCTAGGGAAATTGTTTCCCTCCACATTCTGCTCACACGCTTTAGAAGGGATTGACAAGATAGTGAACTCTATTATACTAATTAATCTCAAGTTGAGTAAATGTTGAGTTTAGAGCTGGCTACCTGAAGTATACTTACTTGATATTTTTTGTGCCCAGCTGAATTTTAAATGAACAAAAAGTGCATAAACTATAAGTCCACTAAGTATAAATAAAGTACAGTACAAATAGGCCAGTTCGGGTGCACTGATGATTGGTGCCAATACCAGTAAAATTGACACCAGTGTCACTATGACAGGAATGATGATGGGTATCTGCAAGATACAAAGAATAAAATCACTTCTTCATTCTTTAGATGTTTTTACAGAAGTTGCCTGTATGAAAGAATATTTTTATTGCCTTATACATTTTTAATTTAAAATTTTCTGGAATCAGATGGGGCAATGGAAGGAGTAGCAGAAATATGGACAGGGAAAACTCTTCTGCCAAATTATTCACTAATATCTCTTATTTCAAATTGTAGTGTACAAGTTTGCATTTTAATAAATGTGGGAACTGACTTACATGCAATGATCTGGGATCTTATTTTGGATATTCTTTCAATGGTAGTCTGCTGACTGCAATTACCCATCTCTGAAAATTTGGCTTGTGCCCTGTGGTCTGTGCAAGTGAAAATCAACATTCTGTAATCTTTTCCCAGTCGTTCTGAGCTTAGTCCTAGTGCAGATATGGTTAGATTTCAGGTAAGGGGAGTAAAAAACAAGGATGCTGCCCAAGGGTGCTGTTTAAATAGCCTGATATATTTAGTGTGAATTCAGGCTACAGCATCTATGGAATGGAGGAAAAGCCATACAGAACTTACCTTGATAGGTCTCCTGAGTTCCTTCCTTGTAAACCTCATAACAATTAGTGCAAGTACAGTTAAACCATAAAATATCCAGACTGCAAAACTAAAGTAATTTATGAGTGAATCAATGTCACCAGGAATAATATAAATAATAGTGATGGCCCCCTAAAAATGAAAACAAAAATTAGTGTAGTCTATTATAGAAGAATGCTAAAATTTATTTCTGTTTCGATACAGCTGCATGTGTAGTGTTCCAGAGTATGAACTGTGAATGGTTTTGCTTAAATATTTGGGCTTAAGTGTATTGCAGCACCTTTAAAGATTATGACTGCTTCCTGTCAACATGTGGTTATTTTTGTGTGCGACCTTAATTTAGTTTTAAGTCAAAATGGTTATAAGTTTTATGCATTAATCTGTTTTATTGTTGACTGACTATCTTGAAGATAAAAAAGATACTTTTAGGTTTTTAATGTTGCTGGAATTGAAAGGAATGAGGAGGAGGAGTCTTTACAAACAAACTGGGCCTGAGGGTAGATAAGGCCAGATACAGAAATGTGAAAGAAGCAATGGGCAGAGCCATAAATTCCATAGGAATTCCACTAATTGACACAGACTCTTACTCACTCAAGACTCTGCTACATCTCTGGATTTAGAGAAAAAGAACAGAGACATAAGGAGAAAGAGAAAGCAGGGGAGCACACATTAGAAAGTTGTGTGGGTGATGTGGGAAATCCGTACCCCTCAAGTACCTCAGCCAATGGGAAAAGAGAGGGAAATGTGGCCAGGAAATTAGGATAAAAAGGAGGCTGTGTCCTCTAATAATTTGAGAGACACCAGGGGAAGTGCCCCATGGCCTTTCCCTTTATTCAAATAAAGCTACGGGACTCCTCTGTCTCCTTTTTGGACATAAACTTCTAGAGTTTGTGCATTAATTTTGCTGGCAAGATTGAACAGAGCTTGTTTTGCCTTGAAGATAAATGGGTAAAATAAAAATAACATCATGTTCTAGATTTATTCTTAATTGTATTTACTGACTGGACTTTTTTTTGTGAGATGTAAATTTTCTACATGGAGGAAATATTCCTACAAGGAGGAAAGAGGGTAATGATTGCTTGCAAGCATCTTGTGAAATGATTCCCTAATATTAACCATTCATTTAAGTTTTTGTTCTCATGCCATTGATTCTTAACCATTTTGATTTTTAAAGTCCAGTTCTGGAATGAGTATATTGAAATTAGAGAAGCTGGGGGTTTTATGTAGTCTTTTTTCCAAAATGCATTTAGCAATTTTCTTGTCTAGATAGTTAATGATAGGTGTTAAAACTGTTTGTAAGAAGCTGTGAAAGTATGTATTACTGGAGAATTTTTGGTGATAGGTGATAATTATTTTTCTGTATTTAAATATATACTTACATAAAATATGATAGCAGGTGCTGGTGTTAAGCGCTTAACACTAATGTAAGACAGTATCTTTAGCACGTGCCCTTCACGACCTGCAACATAAACAAGTCTGACAAAACAAAAATAAGGCAATGCAGTTAGTGTGACACCTAGATTTTAAACAGTGTTACTAATAGTAGACATCCAACTAATTTCATCAGTATTTTCTTTGATATGCATTGGAATGTAAAGAGTATTGTAGCAGTTGAAAATAAGGGAATTAAATAACCAGTATTAAAGCAGTGAGCTAAAACAGAATCTGAACAGTATTAAAATAGTGCACTTGAAACTAATTTCAGGATCATTATTTTGCACATATAATTGAAAATTATTTTCGGAAATGTTACTGACTGTGACCCTTTTAATTAAATATTTCCTTTTTCATGTGTTTCATAGCAAAAAGCTCTATTGACAACCTTTTGTCAAAAAATGGTCTTTATAGCCACATTGTATTCAGATGCTTTTGAAACCTTAAAATATCTTACACAGTAAATGGAAGCACTGAACAACTGGTAGAAAGGAATAGCTTCTCAGTTACCTTTGCTGATGTAGTCATGTTTTTACTGGTAATTTTTAACTGTTTAATTCTCAGCATTAAAATTGATTAGAGATTAAAAAAACCTTATGTGCTATAGTGGCATACCTTCATTGAATTAAGAAGAGACCATATTTTCTAATTTTTTAAACCTGAATAGCTACTATTTATTTTTTGAAAATTAAACAATATAGCTAGATTTACAGGCAATTTCAAATTACATTTTGTGTAATGTGGATCAGAAGAACATCCTTCTGTACATGTATATAAATGTTTCCGTCCTTCAAAACCTTTCATGTGAAGATATTTAGAATGGGGACTTACCTGCCTGCAGTAAAACAGGTACCATTGGCAGATCCAAGTGTTGAAAATACCACAAAGAGAGGAACTATCCAAGAGGCTGGATAAAGGACTCTATCTCCAAATGTCTGGAAAATGGGATTAAAATTAATCACTTCTGTCATATTAACTACCATTTAGAATATTCAGTAATTTTAGAGCCTCTTTGTAAGTAAAGGAAATGAGTATCTGAGCTATGTTACCAACAAAACCATGTTGTGTATTTTGTGTAATTATTAAAGAATGCTCTGCCAAATTAATTCATTGACCACTATAAAATGGAGTGAAGCACTATTGTCATGATGTTTAAGATGCAACATCTGTAGGAAACATTGGAGGGCAGATGTAAAAACTACACAGAAATTAAATTCTGTTAAAGACATTTGCTCTGGGATGAGTCTGCAAAACCAGAAGGAAGGAAGATGGCATTGCTGCAGAGCACTGTCCATACAGAAAGCTGTTTTCAGCCTCTCTAGAACATCTGTAGTGACATCATGACAGCCTGAGCCTGGGGGCAAACAAGGACAAACTCCCTCTGGTCTTTCACTACATTTGAGTTTTCACCTGTGGTGTGGTTTGTTAGTTGTTGCTGCAGATCTCAGGTAGGTTCATTGACCAACAGCAAATGAATTTGAATTTCAATGTTTTGACAAGTAGGTTTAGGTTTTTAGTTGGGTTGGGATTTTTTTTTTTTTTTTAAGTAAGTCAAGCATAAAGAACTTTGGTTTTGAAAAGTCTGACATCAGGGATATTTCTTGGTCCAAAATTAGGGCATTCAAAGGCTACTTACAGCTGTATACACCTTTCTGCACAGGGCACTCCTTTTGTTGTGCTGCCTCTGCTCAGAGCCAGTGCTGAGGTTTTGTTAATTCAGTCTGATCAGTTCAGTGCTAGTTGCTGTGTTGTTCAGATTGTAAGTTTAAAGGTTATTGAAGAGGACCAGTTCTCATACAAGATTTAACTTCAAACATTCTTTGCTGTATCTTTTTGTGCAGACAAGCTGCTGAAATGCACAGAAGATCTGAATTTTAAAAGCTTCTGTTTGAAGAAAAATTTTAAGCATTTCAACATTACTGCACTTCTTCACTGGGCCAAACTGTGTATTTACATGTTTGTCACATACTGTTTGTTTTCCCCAAAAACTAGCATTAGGAAAATTGTTGCAGGTCCTCAACAGCCGTTTCAGAGACACAGAAAATTTACTGAGTGGAACTGAAAGTGGCAGATGTAGCTTTTATGATTTCAGAAACTTTTGTAATTTCTACTTTTATCTGTAAGAGTATGTCTTGCAAAAATGTAAAAATCCTATCTTTCAAATTTGTTAAGGAAAAAAGCCCAAAAAGAATAAGGTGGAAGTGAATGATGGACTATTTGCTGTTATCTCCATAACAACAAACTTTGATCTACTGTCATTTGGCATGTGCTTCTTTCTCAGAAATACTGGAAACAGAGAAAATGGCAAAGCAACTGTCAGATGATATTTCTCTTTCCATCTTTTTGATGCCTATGGAAAGCAGTCACCCTTGATCTGCAATGTTTACAAAATGTTTGCTGAAGACTGCATTACTTTTGCTTCCTCCTTTTATTCTCATTTGGAGATGACAGAACTGCTCTTTCAATTAGGTATTACTGAAAATTTAGATTAAGAAATGATAGTAGATAATGGGGGGAAAGGTGGCACCAACAGCTTAGACTAAAATTAATTTTATCCTATGAAAAATTAATGGAACTTAATGATTTAGATGACTTCAATGCACACAGCCTTCTTCAGATGTTCTATTACAAAATTAAATAGCTTACCACAGCAACTGCCTGGGACTGCAGGAGCTCTGTTGAGGTCATCACAGTGAAATAGGAAATGTTTATCAGAACATAACAAACCGTGACCAAGGGGATTCCAATAATTATAGACAGTGGTAGATTTCTAAAGAATGGAAAAATAATACCTCATCAGCATTGCTGTATCCCTGGTACAGTTGTCATAGTAAACTGTGGATTCTTACTTTTCCTGATATGCTCTTTAGGTGTTTTTAATAGTTTTTTGTTTGTTTGTTTAATTGTTTTTGGGTTTGGTTTTTTTTTTTTTTTTTTTTTTTTTTTTTTTTTTTTTTTTACTGTAGAGCTATGGAAATCAGGATTGTAAAAAAGGAAAATACAAATTATGCAAAGATACAAAGCCTGTAATAATAATTAGTTTTGTGTCTATTGCTCAAACCTTGAATAATAGAATATTAGTGTTTTTAAAAAACAAATCAAATTATATGCTTGCTTATAAATAAATATATAGGGTTTGATTTATTGCCAGTAAAAACACTGCTTTCCTACACAGTTTTACCTGTAAGGATTTTTAAGTTCTTCTGTGATGTAATTGAGTTGATTCCTGGAAGGAAAAACATTCATAGAGTATTTCAGCAGTCAGGGGTTTAAATACAACTATATTATGAGGTGGGGTATTATTTCTTGTGTTATTGCTTTTAATCTTTTCAGTTTAAAAAAGGGAAAAAAATAGTAAAATCAATCTTTTAAGCAGGACAAAATCTATGTGAGCTTCTCATCCAAAAGTCAGCCTCTTGATCCACCATGTCTTTTTGCATTATCTCTGGTATCTCTGAGACTCTAAATATTGGATAAAATATCCCAGAATAATCAAACAAAAATTTGGCAGACATCCTAGAATTTATAAGATTACCTTTCAACTTCAAGCTTTGCAGTATCTGAGTCTTTTCAAATAGAAGCAACAGTGTGCTGAGGGCAAAGAGAAAAGCAAATCTTCTGGTGTTTCACAGTGGTTCTGAATATCGTACTGCCTTTAGAAAACAGGCATGAAAACCTTTTTAAGGATTATACCAATCTGAATTATAATTTCCAAATACCCATTTTTGCTGGAGCACATAGACCAATTGAAACAAGGTTTTTATATTCATCCACTCTGAAAATCTGAAGAGTTAGTATTTACAGTTCAAAGGCAGATTTTCAAACGTTAGTGCCTGGTGGTTACATACACAAATAATTATTTAGGGATCAGCTTCTTTGCCCTCTTAAAAGTCCATATGAATGCCTGAATTAGCAGACTTACATGCCTGAGTTGAGATACTCAGGCTTGGAAACAACCTAGAAAAAGAATCTATTTAAAATAAATTCAGTTTCACAAGCTTTTAAATGGGAATTGCTATGTGGGAGATCAAGATTATATTCTTATTTGCTTCCAAAGCACTGACCTATATACAGACCTTTGCAGTTAGTACATTTAAGATTAACACTGGATTTGTGCCAACAGAACTCTATGCCAACTGACATTCCCTAAGAAAAAAATCTGCAAGTTGAACCTTATAATTTCTGACAAAATGTTCCTTTTTATGTTCTCCTGTACTAATCAAACACCACTACATATTTCACAAGAAAATGGAATTTGGTGGGGAAACCTGCAGGGAAAGCTATTTTGTCTAACACAATGGAATTAAACTGTTTTATATTCTCCTCATTACTGCAGTATCTAAGCACCTTCAGCACCAAACCAATAGTAGTCCTTTTGTGATGTAATATTTTCTTTCCCTAATAAGCAGCAAGTAAAAGAGGGTGGAATTCTGGGTTTTTTTAACCAAACTAGTGTTCTTTCTCCAGAATTCATCAAGACATTCTTAATAACAAATCAGTTGTTCTGATTTGTTATTTTATTATTGTAACTTCTTCCAAGAGCTCTATAGAGAGAGTAAACCAGTTAAAGGCTGTTAAACTGTAACTGTGAAGGTTAATAAAGATTTCTTACCATCCATCATATGCCCAGAGTCCATTATAGAATGCCAAACTGATAGAGCTAACAGAAATTTTACTGCCCTTGAAAGAATCTTTGAAGTTATCAGTTTTTCCTGCAAATAAGAGGAAGACTACTGATCAGTATTGAAATTAATTCTTGTAATCCCCACCAAATGAAAGAACATTCCAACATATGTCTCATGTTTTGAAACTTTTCTCTTATAAAATTAATGAAAACCCTTTTGTATTAATTGATCTGTAGTGTTGCATTTTGCAGCCATCCCCATTCTCTGAAAGAAAATGCCATCGTTTCCAAGACAGGCAGAACTAAAACCCTGAATGAAGAGATTCAGGGCTGTGCCTTATTTCTGTGTCACTTTTGTCAGTGAGGAATTTTTAATGATCATAGCAAAAGCTAAAATAATTTCTTCAAATAACATATATTTTATTACCTTGTGCAAGGAGAACAATTCCACTTACAATAATGATTGTGACAATGATCATTTTAGCAGCTGTGAGAAAATTCTGGAGGTAACTTCCTAGCTTCACACTCAATGAATTCACAATTGTAATTACCACTAAAAGAAAACAAATTATAAATTTTTGCACTGTTTGTCAGAATTTAAAGAAAATTGTCCCTCCCCTTATTTACTGCACATTTCTGTCACACTTTTTATCTATATTCTATGCAGTTTTTACTTACTGTGTTTGGATAACTTTTAAAATAGTGAGGAAAAGCAGCTTTATGAATTAGATTTTTATAGTACACCTTTAATAAAAAACATTTTGAAGTTGCACCGCATGCTGATAAATAAAGAAATAGTTTTTCAACAGTTATTTTTTCTTCCTTTTCTGCTAGAGATAAGCATTCATTATACAGATGTATCTATCATAATGAAGAATTTAAAAAAAAAAAAAACAAACCGCTCAGACTAAGAAAAAAAACATTTTTATACCTATCCTTTTTATGCTCTTTCATTAGTTATTGTGGGAAGGGCTCACTGGACTGTGTCTTAAAGATTTCAAGTGTGTTTGCAAAAAGACACTTCATCATGTTAATCACTTAATTGTTTTTAGCAATGCAGTTGTACAACTCCTTTGCTGTATGACACTCCAATCAGTAAGGCCTGGCCAACTCCCTCTAAATGAGTTTGTCAATAAATACCTACTGTTAAAAGCTAAAAGATGTTCAGGTACTGGCTCCTGATGCTAACATTTAACATTTGTTGCCTTGTTGAGATAATGGCTCATAAACATGCAGTACAGGGCTGGAAATTAAGACCAAATTGTTGAGTCTGAGTATCAACAAAACCATCCTAAGCACAATTTCATAATTGTTTTCCTCACTTTTTAACAAACCTTTTAAGCATGCAGGATTGATCAACAGGAATTCCCTCTGCAATGATGATAAGGCAGTTTCAGGCACTGAAGTGCACTTGTTGATGGGGCCAGACACAAGTCACTATGTGATTTTGGACCTGGTCTCTCTGAAAGTGTGGCTCTTACCAATAGCAGCTGCTGCCAGACACTTGATGACAGCTTGGGGTGGATCACAGCCCGGATAAAAAGGAGCTGAGGCATATTCTGCAAAGCTGAGACAGATGATTGCAAAGGAGCTGGGTTTTGTAACCAGTAAGCTTGTCCAAGAAAACAGAAACGCTGGAATTGGGCCAAATGCCTCCATGAGGTAGGGATATTCTCCCCCAGACTTTGTGATCATTGTACCAAGCTCAGCAAAACAAAGAGCACCTGAATAACAAGAAAAGCAGGTTTAGTTAATGCACTTTTGAACCTGGGACTGCTTGAACTGATTATCGCTTTTTAATAGGTGGAAAAGTAGAGGAAATTGATCTGTACAGTGCACCATTACTCTCTTCATTTTTCTGTATGTTTTAAAGTATATGCAAAATAAAATTTTAATTACTTGTGAACAATTGAAAAAAATACCCTGAAATTATTCAGATGCAGTCTAAAAATTACTACCATTATTATTTCAGACTTCACCAAAACCAGTACAAACAAACATTTTGATTTCATTCGATTTCTGTTTAAGGAATGAACACTATAAGAAGCATTTAAGTGAGAGCTGCACTGGCTGGCATACTTCTTGGAAGCTTGAAAAAAGAGACTTTCTGCACAATTTTGAAATAAAATGTCTGCTAAACTCAACATTAAAGTACAGTGATACTTCCTGTTCTATTGCTGTAGGTGGCATCTTGAATTATGGTTTTTCTTGTATGCTGCCTCACTTGATACAATGCTCAAAAAATGCTTTGTTTTACTTCTTGAAATGAGGTGCTTAGTGCTAAATTTTCAGATAATAGAATTAGAATTACAGAAATAGAAAGCTAGCAGAAAGTACCTAGCTCACTACCAGTAAATTTCACATACTGCCAGCTATTTAAGTAGAAGACTATTCTCTTTATTACTGTCAGTGGATGAAGCAGGAAAAACTAAAACTTCCTTTCAAATTAGAGTGTGATTTACAATTTTAAAACTTAATTTGTCTTCCATAAACACCACATTTTAAATTTATGGTTGAGTACTCTATGCACACATACAACAGGATTTAGTTGATTTTGGTCTAGGTGCTATAAGCTAATTTATGAAATGAGAGTAGTGTGCAGAAACAGCAGATATGAAGATTTAAAGCAAAGATTCAGACTCTTTTTGAGTTTTTTACCTAATGTTGCCAGGACTCCACAGGCTGCCCAGATGATTAAACAAGGACCCACAGCTTCAACATTGGCAAGCACTGATTTTGGAGAAACGAAGATACCTGAGCCAATAATTGTACCAACAATCATACAGATTCCACTAATGAGGCCCACCTTGAAATAAAATGAGATGTTTTTGTAAGCAATTTCCAGTAATTCACCAATTACTTCTCAATATTATAGAACTACAGTAATTGTCATTACTGACTGATTTTTATTTGCTTTCGATAGATAAGTTCTATAAAGAAATATATTAAACAATTTTGCACAGTTTCACTCTTCTTTCCAAGATCTGTATGTACCCTGTGGTGTACTCGTGCTGTTTGCAAAAGTACATCTATTTGCGTTTTGCCTGCCTATTTCATTTATTAAATTGTCTTTTGGACTATGTGAGTCTCAAATATAATCTTGAATGGATGAACTTGACCTTTCCTCTCTGATTAAACAATGACATGCTTTTACAAGCACTTGATGAATTCTGAATTTTCGAAGATTCAGAAATTTTCTTTCATGGATGGAGTCTGTTTGTTTTTGTTTTTGTTTTTGTTGAGCAGCTGTTTTCCTCTCCCTGCTTTAAATATTTGTACCTCGGAATGGTGTTGATACTGCTAGGTGATAAGATCATGCTCTCCCAAATTTTTAGTGACCTACAATATTACATGAAACCACTGAAATTGAGGCATGTATTATTAAAACAAGTGGCACAGGCTACTTAATATTTTCTGACAGCTATGGCTACTCGAATAACATCATTATTTTTCCAGTCTTGGCACCGAACTAAAACCACATAGATAATCTTTTTCCAGGCTACTCAAATTAAGAGAAACGCCACTCTCTCCTGAGAGGAAGCTACACAACTGTTTTCTAAAGCATCTGTATTTTCTGGAGGAGACAGATTTTCACTTGTCTTCAACTACCAGTGCCTATTTTCTGGCTATAAGCACTAACCAATTCTGAGAAACAATGAGCTGGAACAACCCACTACGACTTCTGAAAAGTACACGTGGGAAAAAAAGTTAATGAAATGTCTCAGTTGATCAACTTAGAGTAAATCTTTCAATTATTTTTATCTGATAACTTCAATGACATATTATTGGGGGTTTAGTCTGTTTATATAAGAGCTATTTAACTTCAGTAACTAGCTGTTTCTGAAAATGCAAACCAACCACATTGTTGAGATGTTAGGATATTTTTGCTAAACTGGGACACAGTAGTGGTTTTTGTATGCTGATGCATGTGCACAAATATCCCCTTTTGCCTCCCTCTGCCAACCCCTGACACACGGACCAGAGGGGGAAAAGAAAAAGGTTTGCCTGCTTTTGTAGGTTCATCGTTTGGGGCTCATGACTCTGAATGGATTGTCTGTCCTCTCTTCCTTTGTCCTCTCCTTTTCTTTTCTTCAAGCTTTCTTCACCCATTTGTTTTTCTTGTTGAAACTTCTAAGGAAATAACAACAAAATCTTACTCTAGCATATTAATGTTGCTTGACTTTTGCTGATGTATGTGGGTACAAAATAGTGCAGGTAAATATTACCAGAAAACAAACACATGCATGCACTTGCTCATAGGAAAAGGACTTCCACTGAAGTACCTGCTCAGAGAGGAAAACAGGAGAAGTGATGTGAGCTTCACCTCCTCTGGCTTGCTGTGGGTTCTCCCTATACCCACCCGGCAGGGGATGTCTGTGTCTTCTTACATTCAGTTTCCAGGATGTCCTCACTGGAACGATCAAGTTTTTATAGCCAGTCCTTCCTTAGAACTCCTCCAAAGGGCCAGACAGATTTTATCTTCCTTCCAAAAGCTTGTTTTCTTCTTATCTAGGAGACCTTCTTTCCATTCTTCATTAAATCAGGCCTTGCCTCAGTTCCTTGGAGATGGAAGCATCTGCTAAACAGAGTGTGGGCTACTAGAATTATCTATTTAGCAGCTCGTTGCTTCAGAAAGGGTCAGCAATCTTCTCTGTGTTGATTCAGGGTGAATGTCTTCCACTCAATGTTCTGTCCTTTTTAGAACTGGAATGTAAAGAGTTTGCTTTAAGATTTAAATTTAGAATTTAAATTTAACTTTTTTTTTTTTTTTTTTTTTTTTTTTTTTTTTTTGGTGAGGATTTTGCTTGTTTCCCCTAATATTGGTGTAAAATACAATCGGAGACAGTGAACTGTCCTGAGTCTCTAAAGTAGATTCAGTCAAAAGTCTCTTTTCTCCTAGGACTCTACAACTATAATTACTTGAATTTGAATGCTGAAGATCCTTATGCTTTTATACAGATGGTAACTCTGGAAGGCATCATGTTTAGGAAATATAAGTTGGGGGTTTTTTTTGTAAATTAAGTAGTAACTGGCTACAAAAACTGCAGCATTTGAAATTGACAGAACATCTATCTCAGTATTGTTGGTTTTCAGAAACATTTAGGCTATAAGGTCATCACGTTTATCTTCTGAATTATAGATTTTTTAAATAATCATAATGAATCTAGCTTTGAACCTATGATGGAAAACTGCACACATGAAGAATGCAGGGCTTGGGTGGCTGAACTTCATTGTAGCTTTGTGCCCAATGTCTCTTTTAAAGTCATGTATTTAGACTGCTTCAATCATTACCTTTAGCAATTCTTGCTTTCACTTACCTTATTTATTTATATTTGTTTGGTGTCAATCAGGTCCAGGAATTCTTGCCAAGTGTATTTCTCCAGTTAGATTTCCCAGCCAGTTACAAGCAAGGCATGTCCATGTCTGAAACCAGAATATGAAGAAGGAGCAGCAGCCTAAGTACAGAGGTTATAAAAGGTAATCATTAAACCCATTCTCTGCCAAGAAGTTTTGAGTTAGGAACCACAGGTAAACTGATAGTCCAATTAGTTTATCTTTTAAAACAAGAAAATCCTTTTTTTTTTTTTTTTGTTCCTTTTGTGAGAATGTTTGTCCAGTGCCTAAGTAGTGTATTACATGGTGAGAGTGAACCATAATTTGGAGAGTCTATTTTGATGATTTTATAGCAAGCAGTTGCTAATTTAGAAATGCTTTGGCAAGATAACATTAAAGTAATTGTCATATTATGGATGCATTAAAACCGTGTGCCCAGATGTTATTTGAATCCTATTAAAAATAGTTGATGTTTCTATCTTGAGAAGGTAGAGAAGCATAAGCAAAAATATCTCCTTTGTTTTTCATTAACTTGAGGCAGTTGAGTGGGCAGCTGGTGTTCCCTTTGCTTGCAGCTACAAATATTTTCCATTTTTGTAAATATTTAAAGATCTTGCTTCAGTGAAAAATGCCATTCTCTGTTTCTATGCAGCTGTACATCCAAGAAAAAAGTTATTATCGTGAATTCTGTATTAAGGTAACTGCTTTCATTTGAGCTAGTCATCCCTAAAACACTTGCAAAAAGACACTTCATCATGTTAATCACTTAATTGTTTTTAGCAATGCAGTTGTACAACTCCTTTGATGTATGACACTCCAATCAGTAAGGCCTGGCCAACTCCCTCTAAATGAGTTTGTCAATAAATACCTACTGTTAAAAGCTAAAAGATGTTCAGGTACTGGCTCCCGATGTTAACATTTAACATTTGTTGCCTTGTTGAGATAATGGCTCATAAACATGCAGTACAGGGCTGGAAATTAAGACCAAATTGTTGGGCCTGAGTATCAACAAAATCATCCTAAGCACAATTTCATAATTGTTTTCCTCACTTTTTAACAAACCTTTTAAGCATGCAGGATTGATCAACAGGAATTCCCTCTGCAATGATGATGTACATCTGTGACTAAAAATGGACTCTTAAGAACATGTGAAACACTTGTTAGTTTATATTTGCCATATTTTCTGATGGTTGAGCAATACTACACTGCAAACTTGTTTTTCTCCAAGACTGAGGTTGCAAAGTAATGTTAATACAGAAAATAAAATCAAAACTGTAATTTTTTTAGTCACTGGCTTTTTCCTCTCTCTGTTTTTCTTGTTTAATTCTCACAGAAATTGGGTTAAGATACAAGAGAAGCTCTTCCATCTTAAATAACCTTTTATTGAAAAATTATCACAGTAAGAATGGCCAGACAAAACTTTGGGGTTTTTTAATTTGCCTACAGATAAAGAGAATAAAACATGTTAAAATTATAGTCATGCTACAACTACATGAAAAGGCAGCTATGAACAATTTATTCCTTTTTATGAATGTTTTACAAGGACTTTTATAATATTTTTCATGATAATTGTAATGTATGACTGACTAAATTAACTAATGTTTTCATATCCTTCAATTTCACAATTTCACATTTCCCAATTTCATTTGGGATCAGATATTATATAATGTACTTCCATGTTCCTTATGCTGATAATTTTGAAATGAAAGTTTGTAATCTGATCATACCTGTGTTGCTCCTGAAATGCCACAGAGACTATTGAAATAGCCAATGTGAGGGAAAAAACAAGAATGGGAGGTCATATTATGGGGCTAACATTGTCTCTTGAAATGAAGCAGGCACATCTTTCACATCATATCTACCCTGGAACTCACAGACCAACTAAAACAAAACAAAACAACACAAAACAAAACAAAACAAAACAAACCCCCCCCCCAAAAAAAAAAAATCCACAAAAAAAACACACATAAAAAAAACGCCGTGATTTTGATGAAAATATAATGGGGTATGTAATCTTTAATGTTCTGTTAAATAAAGTTTTGCTGAGGAATTTTTCTTAGATTTAGTGTAGGAAATATGTGCTTGATTTGTGTAGATGTGTCAGTTGTCTTTTCTTTGTTCTTCAGATCTGTACTCCATTCTGTTTCTTCAGATCCCATAAAATGTTTTCCCAACATTGAGAAGATGTTACTTGAGTTTTTGCCTGAGCAACTGTCTTCTTTAGTCAACCTGGAATGTCTGTCTAGAGAGTTCCCACCTGTTCTATAGGGTGTCTTAAGTCTCTGCAGTGATTTGACCTTAACTAGTCTGTTCTCCTTTATAAAAATAGAAAATTATCTTCATTTATTGTCTAGTTTTGTTTTAGGGGTTGCTCTTCTTGGGATGCCATAAACCCATTAAAGTATTTTTAATTTTACAAGCAATCCTTCTTTTCCTCAGCCACTGAAGGAAAAAATAAGCATTGATTTAAAGGATTCTAATATCATTTTCCTTGTAGACAAGAGAAATTACATTTTACAGCCATGGGAAAAGAATCCTTCCCTCTCAAATAGGTACACAAATAGATGAAGATATGAATGAGTTCAAATTCCAAGGCATTTTGAGGCAAACACTTTGAGGGCTTGTCCTACTTAAACACTGTAGTTTGAACCTTTTCAAAATGCTATTTACCAATTAAATCTTAAAAAGTAATTTTCAACTTTAATTCAGGAAATAACAAGGAAAAATAGCAATACACCTTTTGCACCTTTTGTTATCATTCCTTACTAAAAATGAAGGTTAATGTTTGTTAGGGTTGGTATTTATTGCTTGCAGTAATGCATGTTCTGCTTTGATCAATACTAAAGCAAATGATAAGGATCGTCCTAACTTGCAGTTTTTAATTGTAGCTTAGCAGTATCTCAGAGTGAACACTTTCCATTCTAACCTTCCTGCTTACAGGTTGTTGAATTTTAATGAGAGGACCAGTGTGATTCCCTGCACTTAGTCTTCTTTGAATCGACCATTAATAGATGTGTTCTAAAATTCGATCTCACTACTGTCATTCTTTAAATAACTTTATTTTCCTAAGTAATTCCAGGTATGTTGCAGGTATGCTGCAAGTTTATATGCAAAGGAATATAAAGAAACTATATTATTTAATAGCTATGGTGGTACTGGGTATGCTACTGGCTTGCAAGACCTTTGCATCTTGTGGAGGTCAGTAGGAAATATTAGGTGATGGTGGTTCTTAACAGAACTACTTAATAGACTGTAGCTCTTAACAGAATATATGGGGTTTAAATACCCATATTTTATCCCTACTTAGTTCTTGGTAACAGTGTAATTGGCTTTTCTTCTGTGACAAATAAGGCTTTTGAAAATATATTCAGGTCTGCTAAAGGTTTTGTACTAGACCAGCCCAAAAAGTGCAGAGTCTTTAGTCCAACAAGAGATTTATTTTGTATGAGGTATTTTTTTAAGCAGAGCAGTTTAGAGACTCTCAATTAACTCATAAATGCTGGGCATGTCATTCTATCCAAAAGGTCACCAAAAAATCAAGAAGTCTCTTCCTAAGAATGTTCTAAAGGAATTTTGACGGCCTCTGGAGAAAAACAGCTTTCATGTCACACTAGTTTTTAAGTTTTTAACAGTGCTTCAAACTCTGATCAGGATCAATGATTTTTCTGATGAACATCCAACTTCTCATATTTTTTTTTTTTATTTTAAAAATAAAGCCTGAATTTGATCTTCTTTTTGAGTCCAAAACTCAGGTTGCATTCCACTGGCCTTCCACCAAGAAGGGGCTACCAGTTAACATCGGTTTTGGAAGACAAATCTGTCCTGTGCCCATCTCTAGCTGAGGAAGGAAGCACTGAGTATTGAAACACTCCCTTGAGGTTATGATGTCTATGATACTTCTGAAGTCTCATTTTAATTTTATATTTACTGAAACCAAAATATTTCAGCTATAAAACAATTCTAATAAGTAAAATATATTTCTTTCTATATTTCATATCTGAACATGTGCTTATATACATATGTTGAAATAAATTTAATACAGAAGAAAATAGTTCAGGACTAAAAAAGCCTGGAGAGCTCACTCCCTGAGAAACCACATTTTTAAACATAAAGAAGCCTTCAAAGTGCTTCTGCTTTTCTAGATCCAAGCTGGTTGACACCATGGAGTTTTTTACCATAATTATCTACACTAGATTTGCAGAGAAGGACCAGTGCTTGGAACTCTCCTAAATGGAAGAGTCATGCCTCTCCAAGGAAGGATTTGTAGTCCCAAGGGAAAAGCTCTCAGAACTCCTGATGCAATGTGCCAGGATGCTGGCATGAATTCTTCATGGTGAAAAAGTCTTAGGAGGTAGTCTCTCTTCTGGGCTGGGGAAAGGCAATCTCCTGGCCTGAAAAACAGCATCTTTCTGACTTGGAAATAGAGGTAGGAGAAAACACCTGGGTTTAAATGACTTCTCAATGTCGGGAATTTTTCTAGAAAGTGGAAATAAAGATAAGGTGAGTACACATCAAAGCTCTGTCAGTTCACATAGCACTGGTACATACTTTCCTTAATGTGACTGCTGAGTGTCAGACTCTCCCTGCTATTTACACAACCAAAACAGAGTGTGAAGTGCTCTGTTCTGACTATGGAGTAAAAAGTTAGGCCACTATTTTAGCTGTAGCTGGCAAATGCATTGGAACTACTGAGATTTACTACTGGCAGGAAAATTAATCCACAAACATCCGAGGTTCACATCCAAAAAGGAGACAGAGGAGTCTTGTAACTTTATTCAAATAAAGGGAGAGGCCATGGGGCACTTCCCCTGGGGTCTCTCAAATTTTAGGAGGATGCAGCCTCCTCTTTATCCTAATTTCCTGGCCACATTTTCTTCTTTCTCCATTGGCTGAGGTATTTGGGAGGTACAGACTTCCCCAAACACCTGATACCTAAGACTCCTTTCTAATGCATAACCCCCCACCTTTGTCTTTTCTTTGTGTCAATTAGTGGAATTCTTTATGGAATTTATGGTTCTTCTCATTGTTTCTTTAATCTCTCAGTATCCAGTTTTATTTATCAGCAGACCCACAGTTTGTAAAGACAAATCTCTCTCATTCCATTCATCAGTCAGTGGAATCCTTCCCATTGTTTCTTTTTATCTCTCATTATCTATCTTTATTTACCAGCAGATCCACAGTTTGTTTGTAAGGACAAGTCTCTCATTCCTTTCAGTCTGAATTCTCCTGTGGTTTTGGTTTCTAAAAGGTGATAACAATGTTTGCTTTTTGAATATAATAATCACATTATTTATTTTAAAATATGGCAAATTTATGCTCAGTTATTATGGACAGAATATGCTCTGTAAATTCATCAATGAAACTTAAATGTGACTACAATTCCACAAATTCTGATTTTTCTTATTTTCTTGGTAGGAACAGAAGAATGTTTTTATGTTGTCTTGTGAAAGGAAGCTGAAACTATTTCATGGTTTCAATTTACCGACTGGAAGATCTGAAAGATTCTGTAACTGGAAGGCAGGAGCAATATAACAGAGCCAGGATGCTCTGTCAGCTGTGGTCAAAGGGAAGTAGCAAGTTGCTATTGTCAGGTGGTAACAGAAAAAAGACAAATTGGCATGGGTAGAGTTATTGTACTAGACTAAAACAGTCAAATAGTTTCTTTAGTGTTGTGTCATCTAAATTTAGCACAGTATCTATGAGACATGGAAAAACTATGATTAAAAAATTCTTATAAAGTTACACACCTGTAATGAAACATCAGCTGGCAGTGGTGGCCCAGTAAATCCTCCTATAAAGGGATTTTTTAGTCATCCTGGATTTTCTGTAGCGTGCTAAAAACTACACCAAGGATGGGAAAGAAATGAGAACAAATGTGCCACCTCCATAAGACACAACAGAACCACGAAAAGCTTTTGTGGCTCTTCAGTTATAGAAGACATCGTGAAAGCTTTGAATTTAGGTTTGTGAACACCCAGAATGTGTCCTGCTATGTGTGAAGTGATTTCTAAGCAAATCGTGCCAGCTGGAGAGAAGAGAGCAGACCTTTGTTTGGCTGATTGCTGCAGGATGTACAAGCTTTAAAGGTTTACAATATCCATATCATGTGAACAGAGTACACTGGAGTTTAGGTTACAAGTCCTTCATTCGTGTGTGCGTGACAGAAGCTCTGCAGCTTCTGCCAGTCTCAGTATTTTGAGTTTCTCAAGGCAGTTGTATAGGTCAGACTGTACTTTTGATGTTATTCTCTTCTGTGAACTTATCTCATTACTTAGAGAGGTTCAAAGGTTGCTGTTACAAATGACAATATAATTAATATAGGCTTTCACATTCACAGATTAGCTTTTTGCATCACAAGTGTTTTGATATGGTACAATTTATACTTATTTTTAACTGCTTTTGTATAGTATAATCTGCCAGTTTATATATGCACTATATAGTTTATATGAATAATAGTGGGATAACTATGATATATCATAGGCTTTAGCAAAATGTTAAAATAGAGCCTAAAATACTTCTATGTAAGTAACTCAGAGAATGGTGTGAAGCAATTATTTTGTTTCTTACACCTGCGCTCTGGCCTCCCCAAATGATAAGATAACGGTGGCAGAAATCAAAGCACGAGCATCCGGGGAGGATTTATCAACTCCTGGCTATCAGGGAGTGGGAAACAACAGGGCAGAACTAAAGGACGAAATAAAATATATTGACCCAATCTACAGAATGTCCTGCAGACAAGTCAGAGGTTAAAACCAAACAAAAGAGTTTCTGGAACGTCAAAAACTCAAAGGAATGTTTGAATCAGTATAAACTCATGAATATGCATGTACCCCCAGCAATGTAGCAGTATCTAGAAAAGGATGTTTAAGTTGACTTTGTGCTCTTTGACTGTTCGCCAAAAGCACCTCAGCGCTGGATATTTGTCCCTTGTTTTATCCCTTATTAAACTTAAAATTCTAAAGCTATAAAAAATGCTATTAAAAATGAGAGCAGGAAATGCATGTGAAATCAGTCAAGGGCTGCAATATCAAGACAGTATCTGATCTCCTGTGATCTTAGCACCTTTGTTAATCTTTGACATGTTTTTGATTGCAACACATGTGCTTCTACTTAGATTAAAAAGCACTCACCGTGCTACACCGTACCTTTTGCACTTACACTGATCCAACACCAAACGACACTCAGTAAAACCCTTCTGCCAGCTCTTGCAAAAATCTATTCAGCTGATTGGAACTGAGGTGACAAAGCTCCACCCTCCTGGCTTCAGCTAAGAAAGAAATAATGGAAGCAAATAATGTGAAAGAATAAAGGATAAACAATACAGTGTATTTTACTATAGCAAATTCTTATAGAATTAAATCTAAACATATTACCTCATACAGTATTAGACAGAGCTGCAGCTGACCCTAATTAACTACTTGGATCTGGTTATCTTTCCTCTACAGAGTGAAAGATGACTTACAGAATCACAGAATATCCTGAGCTGGAAGGAACCCACAAGGATTGAGCCCAGTTCCTGGCCCAGCACACACATTTTGAGTTCTTCCTTCCAGACAGCTTTTGAGGGATTTTGATTTGATTAGGTAGTGGTATTGCCTACTAGGCAATTTAACTCCTAAAATTATCAACTTTGTTAGACATTTTAGCAGGACTTTTCTGTTGGTTTTTATTTTTCCTTTTATGTTTAAATGTTGCATGTTTTAATAAAAAACATATTTTCTTTTTTTTCAAAAGAATATTTATTCATATAATGCTAGACTTTTAATATTTTCTTTCTAGTCCTAAAATCAATGGCCAACAATAAGCATTATATTGCGTATTTACTGTACATAGAAATATACTAAAACCAAGTTACAAAACTTAATACAAGATGAAAAACATACAGAGCATAAGGTTTATGTTTCATCTCAAAGCGATTTACAGGAAAACACTTTCAGCTGTTAATAAAAGAGAATCAACTTGGAAGGAACTGGAGGGAAGCACCTGTCTAATTATCAATTCTACTTGTACAGCACTTGGCACACTTGCAAATGGGTTTACTTTTGCTGATCTGAAACAATTCCAGTATTTTACATCCAAATATGTCAAATGGGTTCATATGTATTTAAAATATGTTCATATGTATTTAAAATAGCCTATAACAGGATTTTTGTTATACCAAAAAAGTGTTCCTGAGCCACAGAAAGACTTTTTCATCCATGGGATGTAATTTTTATCAATTTTCTTCCCGTGGAAACTGAGTATGGAGAATCACCCAGGGATTTGATGAAATGTTAGTTTATTTAAAGTTTAATGTCATATTTTAATGATATGTGAATGGCAAAGTAAGTGTAGCATTTCTGAGCAAAGCCTTAAGAGTGCTACTGCCAAGGTGCTGCCCTTTGAACCATGTATTAAAACCTACTCTAAAACAAGAGCTGTGAAAATGGGCAGCAGGTGTGGCAAAAGTACACAGTTCTAAGACATTCCCAGGTCACGTCAGTGGAAGAACAGTTAGGCCAACATTGAGAGTTTTGAAAATCTTGCTTCTGTTTCTAAGGAATTACCAGTATAATAGCTTTTCCTTGTGAAGCTGCTGATTTTTACAAGCTCTTAAAACATACTCAAAAGGGCAATTAAACCCAGATGAGGATAATATTGTAAATAATGAATCAGCTCTGAGATTGTATTTGCATATTCTAAGATGCTTATATTAAAAAATATGACCTGAAGGACTTATGCTCCAAACCTGCCTTTACAAAGGTGAGAAGCTGAGGGTATGGCCATGTTCCATGCTGCTCCAGAGTCTGCACAAGTGCAGGTTGGAGCTTGTGTGGAAACCAGAGGAGTGTGTATGCCTGTCTAACTGACCTGAAGAGGTATTTCAGACCTGACATTTCAAATTAGTTTCTTTTTCAAATTCAAGGAACATAGGGGACAGGACTGGTTTAGTGATAGACCATCCCCGTGACAATTTCACATATTAATGAAGTTATTTAAGACTGTGCTTAAAAATAGTTTCTGGTCGTTATGCTGAGGCATGGAGTCCTAAAATAATCAAATTGAAGAAGCCAGGAGAGTGAAAGGATTCAAAGGTGTAGCTCTTGTTAAGTCTCTGGGCAGAGACCAAAAGCTAGTGTGCTGTTAGAGAATAGCTCTGTTAATCAGTGTCTAAAAGACTCTGGCATGCTGATGTTGTATCTTGATGAACTGATAAGGCTGTTGCACTCGTGTTATTCCTATTATAGGGAAGGAATGAAAGTACATCCTGAAACCTTGCCTCCATATATATGACTCAGCTACTTTGGTGCCTTCCTACAATCAGGGCGGTATCAGAGGGCACTGAGGTTCTGACAGTGCTCTGGAAGCCTGTAGAGTTTTTAGCTTTGCACTGTACTGCAGAACCTGGCTTTGAAAGCTGAAAATCTGCCTGTCCCTGAACATCACGGTGTGATAGGAAGTGCTGTTCCCACCCTCTCCTGAACAAAGCCATTCTTCCCAGTCATGGCCTTACCCTGAAGGAAAACGCTGCAGGAACCTTTCTAGACACAAACATCATGGGGTGTTTTTTTTTAGTATTTTAACATGGTTTTATGCTCTTTTTGTTAACTTTGATCAAAGTCAATGAAATTCTTCATTATTTCTAATACTACACAACTATGATAGTTACATGTTTTTTGTATTGTTACAATTTTCTGGTACCATTTGTGTTTCATTATGAAAATGAAGCAAAACCAAAAAGCTCATCCAGCAAGTATATGCAAATCCAAAACAAAGCCATATCAGAGCAATACATACTACTAGAAAGTTGATGTGCAATATTGTGAAAATCAACAAATCAGAAAGCTAAGACAAATACAGGTCAATAATCTAAAGGCATATACAGTAGCACTGCTTCAGAGAATACTCTGGGTGGCTTTTGAAGCCACTGAGTCTGAAGCAGGATGAACAAAACAATCTGGAGGAGAGCTGCATTCTGTGCTGGCAGCTCCTCCCCTTGGCAAACCCATGGTAGGAGCTTCCCAACACCGACAGGGATCCTGTAAATCTACACACTGCACAGCTGTGCATTCAGGCACCAGCAGTTGTCATGAGGATGTTTCAGTCTTGCCTGCTCCACAGTCAAATTTTTCTCTGTCCTTGATTTTTGGCACACAATCTAGGACATCCTTGCATCTGAGGAAGTCAAGATGCTTCCTCAGGAGAAAAATTACAAGCCACACTTTTTGGATCATACTCCATCTGGCATTTTAGGGAGAATCTACTGAAACATGTCCTTTTAATTTTAACAAGCACTGTCTTGCTGCTCACTGGTTTTGTGGCATGGTGTGTGTCTGTGCTGAACACCAAGCTTACCACCATCTTATCCTGTTAACTAGTTATTGGTCTTTACATGTTAACTTAAGGTTGTACCACATTTTCTCTTAAGAATGAATAGCTTTTGCTTCAAAGAGCAAAGTAATATTTTAGGCTAGATTTACATTATTTAGAGTACAAGTAGAGAATGTGCTGCTGTCATTTTGATGACCTTAAAAATACACTAATATTGAAGACAGCAAACATTCCATGACACCTTGCGCTGCTGAAAAAGTCAAACTAAGGCACCAAGTTTTCTTTCTTGGATGAGATGCAGATTCTTATCACTGACATTCTTGCTGAATTTCATTTTCAGTAGGGGATGAAGTTTTCACATCACAATAGCTAAAATCATGTCCATAAACTAGGTCCTGAGAGTGTGGTTCATGAACTGTGACAGCATTCCAGGCATTGTTCTTCCTCAGGGATTTCTCTAAGAGTTCTCTCATTCTCCTGTTTTCTTTGGTTGTGGATTCCCACATGATTTCAAGCTCCCCTTCTGTTTTCCTAGGAAAAAATGAAGAGAGAATTCCAACTTTAACAATGTTTCAGCAGTGCAGGATTATACTATGTGGATAAGCAAATTAGAAATGGCCTGTATTTATGTGCTTGAAATTGCCTGATTGAAATTCATTCATTTCTTGGTTTTGAAAAAGCTCATTAAATGTAATGCTAAAAAGGATATGACCAGAAAACTACCCATATAAAGCTACCCATTATGTAACAAAAGTTGGACTAAGTGTGCACACAGAGCAGTGCATGTGAGACCCAAATACTGTGATACCACTCTCCACTGACTGAGGCTCCGTGCTGAGCACAGCTCTGCTTCCCACACAGCACTGCCCCTTCTGCCCAGAGCACTGTGCTCACCCCTTGAGCCCAAAGGTCTGATCAGTGTCAGACTCTGTGCTCAGCTGCTTTGTGGGAGCCAAACAAAAGTGGTAGCAACTTAGAAGGTAGACAAAGCCCAGGAGCCTGGGTTTCCTTTGACTCCTGGTGTATGTCAAAATACAAAATAAGGAAATGAAGATCAATTGACGTGGAAAGCATAGCTGATGCATGGAAAATAAGAACACATATTTTAATACAAAACCAGAGGACACAGTCTCAAGCTGTGTCAAGGGCACTATCTGTTGGACATTAAGAAAAAGTTTTTTACAGAAAGAGTGATAAAGTTCTGGAATGGCTGCCCAAGGAGGTGGTGGAGTCACCATCCCTGGATGTGTTTAAAACAGACTGGATGTGGCACTGGGTGCCAGGGTTTAGTTGAAGGTGTTGGGGCTAGGTTGGACTCGATGATCTTGAAGGTCTCTTCCAACCCAGTCATTCTGTGAATCTCAACTCTTCTTGGAGGACTAATTTTTAAACAGAGCTGAGAGATGCAGAGCCAGGGAGTGCAGACTGACCTGGCTTTGGAGCAGCCAGAGCACCCTGCTGCACACACAGCACGCTGCAGTCCCAGGTAAGGCTCTGCAGTGTGGCACAACGTGCTGCTTCACAGCTCAGCTGTTTCCCAGGTCAGCATCTGAGAAGATGCAGTAGCATCCCAAGTGTAGTTACACAAGAGGATTTTGCTTGAAAATTTTGACCGGATTGAAATTTAAAAATGCACTCAGCAGAGCTGGCTGAAGAGAGGGTGTCTTTTTGCTAGTCACAACCTCCCTTCCCTTAAGGAATTTGGATTACAGAGCAGCTTGGTTGCTAGAGCTGCTGATGCTCTGTACATCTTTCTCAACACCAAAATTTCCTTGCCTCTACAGCTGGTTTGCCTCTTGAAATACAAGTCTTTGCCACTTGGCATTTAAAACTAGATACATATGCTGTTTCCAGATGCCTTTAGACAAAAGGCATTAAATTAATTTCTTATTAATGTAGGCTATTATTAAGTAAAAATAAAAATTTCATTCAACCTTTAACATAGCCAAA